CATCATATTCATACAATTTCTTTCTAGTTATTTCTAAGCGAATATAATTCGATTTTGCCAATCGAATATTCCATACTTTGTTGTATCCTAGAACTGATTGGCCAAGAACCCTTTAGCAAACTTATTCGAGTTGGGACAAATAACACTTCAAGGAAATGATTCAAGCTATACCTCAAAGTCATCATTCGGATTATTCTCTATATTTCTACATTTACTCTAACACAACTAACTTAACCCAAATACACAACCACTACGTTTCTTTGATTGACAAATGAGACATGAAAGACTCATTTTGCTGACTGTGGACAAAGAAAGGCAAGCGCTCCATTTTCAAACAAAAAGAATAAATTTAGAAGCTGTTGGTAGCATGATATCAAATGCATCAACCTGTACGGCACCTCCCTTACAAAATCCTAATGAGAAAATGTTGTTACAACATGGACTACAAATTTAGAAGCTGTTGGTATCATGATATCAAGAGGTTATGGAATCCAAAATTTCATATCTAAGTTCAACTTTGCACACGTTGTACTTAGCTCATTGTATTAGACAGGACATCTCCTTCGCTGTTATTTATCAAACCCGCACAAGGCAAAATTCTCGAATGGTTACGTCTTTACCGTTAAGGGATATCGCAATATCTTGGAGGTCCATGATATGACCTTAGTTGTGAAATCTTTGAACCATTCCAAGACTCACCTCACTTCACTACGCCACAAGTGAGACACGGTTAGGAATTCTTGTTGAGCATATTCGAAGTACTTGTTGTTTTCATCCATCGTTGAGTCCCAACGACGATCCATGAAGACTATACCACATGTATCCACCCGACCAAGACATGATACATCAATGAAGTCTACACCAAGACATATTGCATCTACATCAACAAAACATTAGGAGATTGAAGTCATGCAAGCCGATCCTAGACAACCTTGCCGACCTTTACACGACGTCACTGCCGAAGTCAACATTCCAGGAGCTTGTCCAAGGAATTGGTATGCCTAACTATTCATATGCAATGCTTGTAGTTCTCATTTGGAAGTTCTGTCAAACTCAAGGGGAGTATCTAGAAGTATACTCACTTGATCTTAATGTACTCTTTTTCCCTATGATTAAAAGCATTTTTCCCACTCGGTTTTTGCTACATAACTAGGTTTTAATGAGGGACCCATCTTAGGCTGATCATACCTTTATGAGCTCTTCTACTTGCATCCAGAAGACGTATAGTTTTGACTTAATGCAACTTGTCGCTTTTCTCCTTAGCCTATGGGTTTTTATCCCACCTTAGGTTTTACCATAGCGAGGTTTTGTGAGTTTTACTTTTTATGCATTCTTTCGTTGATTTGAGACTCGCATTCGTTCATTGTGCCGACGAATTTATCAACTATACTTCATTGTTGAAGACTTGATGTGCCATTTGTTTGAGTATTTACACACTCAAGGGGGAGTGTTGCAGTCCTATTAGATTAGGAATGTGATTGTGTAAATCCTGGTGTATCCAGGGATACCTTTGAATATTCCCTTTAGTAGTTAATATTCTATTAGAGTTGTAATTATAAAAGGGTAAGGAATTAACCTTCCCTACTGCTATAAATAAAGGCACAATGGGGTGGAATAGAACACACCTCATAATTACACATCTCTCTCTTCTCTCTACTATTGCCACACCCCTCTCTCTGTGGCCTCCATAATTGTTTAGTAAATTATGCCTACAACAATTTTATCATATTTATAGATGATTGTTCTAAGTTCACATATGTTTATTTATTGTCTAATAAAGATGAAGTTTTTGAGTGTTTTAAGCGATATAAGGCTGAAGTTGAAAACCAAAATGGAAGGAAAATTAAATGCCTTCGTAGTGATACAAGTAGTGAATATTTTTCACATGAATTTGATTTCTTTTGTGAAGAGCATGGTGTTGTACATCAAAGAAACCCTATACACAACAACAAAATGATTTGGCAGAAAGAAAAAAGAGGACACTCATTGAAATGATTAATTCTATGATGATTAATGCTAATACTCCTAAACATTTATGGGGAGAAGCATTGTTGACTGCATGCCATATACACATGTGTCACCATATGAAATTTGGAAAGGAAGAAAACCAAATTTGTCATATTTGAGAGTATGGGGTTGTGTAGCCTTTTACTTCAAGAGATGTAGCCTTTCGGAAAGAGGCTATATATGATGAATTTGAATCATTAATATCTAATCAGACATGGGTTTAGTAGTAGATTTTCCTCAAGGATCAAAAGCAATAGGTTGTAAGTGGGTGTTTAGAAGAAAATACAATACAGACGGGTCTATTCAAACATTTAAAGCCAAGCTAGTTGCCAAGGGTTTTAAGCAGAAAAAGGGAATAGACTATTTCGATATTTCGATACATATGCTCCTCTAGCTAGGCTCACATCAATTAAAATATTGTTCGCATTGACATCTTTATATAATTTGCATGTGCATCCAATGGATGTGAAAACATCATTTTTAAATGGTGATTTGGATGAAGAAGTCTACATGGAACAACCAAAAGGGTTTGTTCTCCTTGGGAATGAAAAGAAAGTTTGTAAATTAGTAAAGTCGTTATATGGATTGAAGCAAGCACTAAAACAATGGCATGAAAGGTTTGATTTTGTCATTTTATTATATGGATTTAGACATAATAGTGCTGATAAATGCATATACTCTAAATTCATAAATGATTATGGTATTGTTATATGTTTATATGTCGACGACTTGCTAAATTTTTGTACAAACATGAAAGGTGTATCTAAAACTAAAGAGTATCTAAATTCAAAATTTAAGATGAAGGACTTGAATGAGATAGATACTATCTTGGGAATTAAAGTAAAGAAGTATAGTAGGGGTTTCGCTTTGTTTCAGTCACAGTATATAGAAAAATTGCTTCTTAAGTTTAAGCATCTACAAATAAAAGAATAAAATACCCCTTATGACCCTAGTGAAACTTTGCTTAATAATTATAGTAGGTCTGTTGCACAGCTTGAGTATGCTAGTGTAATCGGAAGTTTAATGTATGCCATGTATTGTATCAGGACAGATATTGCATTTGCAATAAGCAAACTTTCTAGATACACTAGTCATCCATGTAATGCTCATTGGAAACAATAAATAGAATTTTTGGATATCTTAAAAGAACTATTAACCGGAGTATAACTTACTCTAAGTTTCCAGCGGTACTTGAAGGTTATTCAGATGCAAGTTGGATAACAAGTGCTAATGATAATAAGTCTATATCAGGGTGGATTTTTACAATTGTCGGATAAGCAATTTCTTAGGCTTCGAAAAAGCAAACATGTATAGCACATTCAACTATGAAATCTGAATTTATACCATTCACAACCAATGCCATCCATTTCGTTATACTGTGATAGTGAGGCTACTTTGTCTAGATCATACAATAAGGTATACAATGGAAAGTCTAGACATATTAGCTTGAGACATGAATATGTCAAGCAATATAACTGATGGAGTTATTAATACTATTTATGTTAAATCAAGTAATAACTTGGCGGATCCGTTAACGAAAACACTTTCAAGAGTTTTGGTAGTTAGTACATCTATTAGAATGGGGCTAAAACCCTGAAAATTAGCCACCAATAATGGTAACCCGACTTTGTCTAGAACATCACTAGTTTAAAAGTTTAATGGGTAATAACAAGTTATTGATAAGTGGTTGTGAAAGCACTGAAAATTAATATATAGCTCATTCCAAGATGATCAATGCAAGACTGTCACGTTTAGGAGGATGAGTTTTATCTCTTAATGAGGTTATTTGTAGTTATGTCTATAGTATTAGGGACATAGGAAGGAACCTCACTTATATGAACATAAGAAGTGGTGCCACTTCTACCAAGAGTTGGGTTTTCTCTTGTAAATATTCATGAAACCAGGATGAAGCACAAGGCCATAATAGTGCTTAATTAGTTCAGAAAATTCTTTAAGGAAATAAGACATAGTCATGTGTGTAGCGATTCCAGTTTTAACATAAGAATAATTGGTTTAAACTTAGGTCACCATCGCATTCATTATAACTTTGAATTACTTACACTAATTAAATGTTTAATTCGAAAAACACATTTATTGTATGCATGATTATATCGGTGTGCTTGTGATTATTTACAAAGAGAGAATTATTATAATATTATTTACCATATTCTTAAAATAGGGAAGGATTGTTAAATATTTCAAGAATATATTTATATATTCGCATTGCCTAGAAAGTTGGGTATTTGCCTAGCAGTTGCTTCTCTTCAAGTGAAGCATTGTAGCTATTAGTTTCATATATATATATATATATATGCTGCATTGTGCAATATGTGTGTGTGCAAAAAATAATAGTACCGAAAGGTTGAATTTAATTCAACCTTGTACCTTTTGGTTGAACTGCAACTTCTTGTTAAAAGATATGATGCTTACTTAAATTGTATGAGTATAATTAAAAGATATAATTAGTCAATATTTATTTTTTGAAAATTCTAAATAGAAAACATGTCTTTTGGGTTAACATTATTAAGAAGGATTCTATATCTTCAACTAAAATAAAAGGGCTCAATGAACGGGTACTTTAATGTCTATAAATACCTATTGTAGCATAATGTTTCACTCACCATTTTTAGAAATTTGTTTCTACATTCCTTGCTCTTTTCTCTCTCCATCATATTCATACAATTTCTTTCTAGTTATTTCTAAGGGAATATAATTCGATTTTGCTAATCGAATATTCCATACTTTGTTGTATCTTGGAACTGATTTGCCAAGAACCCTTTAACAAACTTATTCGAGTTGGGACAAATAACACTTTAAGGAAACGATTCAAGTTGTACCTCAAAGTAATCATTCAGATTATTCTTTATATTTCTACATTTACTTTAACACAACTAACTTAACCCAAATACACAACCGATACGTTTCTTTGATTGACAAATGAGACATGAGAGACTCCTTTTGCTGACTGTGGACAAAGAAAGGCAAACACTCCATTTTCAAACAAAATTAATATATTTAGAAGCTGTTGGTATCATGATATCAAATGCATCAACCTGTACGGCACCTCCCTTACAAAATCCTAATGAGAAAATGCTGTTACAACTTGGACTACAAATTCTACTCCTCTCAACCAATCACTGCCTTACCTTCGCTTCTATGTTTTCATTTCAGAAGTTGACATTCTGAATCATCTGCACAAACAAATACAAAAGTCACTACAATCTCAGCCGTAATTTTTGACATGGAAACAACGACGGAAACCAGAGCAAAAATGCCCTGATACATTTTTATTACATGTTTCATACACAGTCAAAGCATTCGATAATATTAGCGATAAGTCTATCATTCATTAGTCAATCAAGTAATGAAAATATAATATAAAAATAGGCCATAGATTACTAATTTGTTTTTCGCTGCATGATTCCTGTGGAAAAAATTAAACCATGTACGGAGGTCAAATCAGATGATTTCTGACAAGCTAGCCAAAGTTTACTTTGTATACAATGATAGAGTAAACTGCTGATTTCCCCTCTAAACTTTCGATTTACCCCCTAAATTTTTAAATTGGAAAATCAAGAGCTTAAACCGGTGTTTTAAAAAACTAGCCTCAAGGCGTGCCTAGGGGTGCATCTGAGGTTGGGCATGAGAGTTGCCACCTCAGTTTGGTAGGAGTGGGCTGAGGTGTCGCCGGAGTGCGTATGGGCGACGGAGGAGCACTTCAAGGCATCTGAGACGCTCATATGGGCGTTTTTTTCTTCAAAATCCAGGTTTGTAAAATATTTTTCTGCTGGTCTAGTTTCAACGAAGGAGAGACTTTCTCCCTCCAAATTCCTATAATAATTGCTCCACTCAGCTATTATTTCATTTTAAATACCTTATAACTACTTCACTCAGCGTTTATTTCCTTTTGAATTACTTCAAATTGCAACATTCAACCTTTATTTCGCTTGAAATTTCTTATAATTGCGACCACTCATCATTATTTTCCTTGAAATTCTCTATAATTGCTTACAATAAAATAAATAATTACTACATTTTAAGACTATATGACATAGTTTTCAAGTACAACTAAGTACAACTAGACTTATTAATAATGAAGATGATATTATCTTTGATTTAGTTATAATTATAATTTTTACTTATATATAATATATATTAAAATTACTAGGCTGGGCTATCCATCGGATGCCTCGGTCACGCCTGAGCCTTTTAATACATTGGCTTAAACTAATATTTTTGGCTGATTTCCTCTCTTAGTTAACTCTTATCACGTGCACGCCACGTGACTCTCCTTTGAGAACTAAAACGTCACTTCGCTTGACCATCAGACACAAGCTATAGAATCATACAAAATTGCACAGGTCAACAATTTAGAAATCTAGGGTTTTCAATATTTTAAAGATTGAAACGACCGAACTACCCTCACTTGTTGTGAACATATTTTCATTTAACAAAAATTCGGATGGAATGAATGAAAAACTAACTGCAAGGGAAATCGGCCAAAAAATTAGTTTAAGTCCTCAATTTTCCAATTAAAAAGTTTAGGGAAGAAATCGAAAACTAAGTGAAAGTTCGGGGGAAAACGACAGTTACTTCACTATTCAAACATTTTCATACCCAACCAAATCCCGCCATACAACCTACAAAGTTTGAACCAAATTTTTTTTTTCTGGCCTTTGCCACCGAATTTACTCTTTAGAAAATGTGTCTGGATGTTCAACCTTAAGCTCCCTATACTAAAAACTAGGTTTATGCAAGAGTTAGGTTCGTTTAAACTCGACCAATGGAAATATGATTAAAGGCAGGTTGGAGATGTATAACAGATGGGTTTGGCCAAGACTATTAAGATTCTCACTCTCCTAAGAGGTAGATGCAATAAAATATGAATTGATCAACATCATTAAGGAAATGAATTTTTTTATAAAAAAAGACGCAGAAATGTCTCATAATTTGCATTTTGACACGGTTATAATTTGAAATGTTGACTATGATCTAGAAATTGGCAAACTTTCACAGTGCAAAAACCCTTGTTAAGCTTCAAATTGTCAAGAAAAAAAATAGAACATTGGTAAAACAGTTGCCTACAAGTGGCCGAAAATGGTAACTTTAAATATTAGGCCTTATCCAAGAGATGACTAAAGTAGACTTGCCTTAAGAAAGATCAAGAATGACATGCTTTTTGAGAATCAGACCATAACATGAGAGTTGCCAGAAGAGCCACTGTTGCAGTTTCAACCCGTAGTCGATGTGGGCCAAGACCAACTGAGATAGCACCAGCTTCCATCAAGTCACTCACCTCTTTCTCAGTGAAGTCTGAAGCAAGAATACAGAAAAATAAATCCACAATGATGAATTTCCTACGTATTAATCTCAGTAATGAAAACAGATATCTTATCTTGTATGGTATGGTATGCTTATGAATGTATAAGAGGCAAGGGGTGAACTTAAAGAGAGTATGTATATAATAGCACCAAAAAGTAGCAGAAAATCAATGCACACATACAATTGCTGGTACGTTAGTCCGACACAATCCTTAATAGAGTCTGGGTCAACTGTTCTCAAAGTTTAACTTAGCCTCTTCTTCTAATGAATGTTGTTAAGGATTTGTAGCACAATCTTCTTCTACTTGTCCGATATTCACTTGATTTCAAAATTCACATGTTTGACCATAAATCTTACAATTTTGGAATATAAGCACGGGATTGTTTTAGCTGTCCAGTATCACCAAGTCATAGAGTGAAATGAAATGATTCTTAATATCTTATAAATGTGGCTGGTAATTGGTAATTTGGTATGCAACAAAAATAAAGATAGTTAGATGATGAATACTTACCACCTTCTGGTCCAACAACAATCAGCCCACTGGACTCCCATCCTGATGAAGTTAATGCACTAACAAGAGGAGTAGCTTCTGCAGTTGCCAAAAAAGCTAGCTTTGACTGTGCAACCTAAGTATCAAAATCGTACATGTAATTTCAATTAACAATGGAAAGTAAGTATGTTGACATGAAGAATAGTCTGCACATCAATAGGAACATGATGTGAAAGAGCACATGTGAATTACAAACAATACTAAATCTGTAAATTATAAGAATGAGAAACAACTTGGTTCCGAGCTATATTATAGAGCATGCCATCATACAGGTCTGGCTGGAATTATTTTGTAACAAAACAGAACAAAAAAAAGTTGTTAATCTTCAAAATAAAACAAAACGGGGGAAGTGAACAAAGAACTCACAAGAGCTAAAAGACCATTAACTTTCACTGGAGGATTCATAATCATTTCATGTAGCCGTTGGCCTGTGACAGAAGTAGCCATGGGGAAACAAGGCTTTGAACTTTAATATCTAAAAGAAACGTTTAATAGGACACAAAAGTCAGTGACACATGTATATCAAGAATAAGGTAGAGTTAACTATTTTACATTGTTTAGCTGCTGCCATGTTGACACGCTGCAACCTGTCCACCCGATTTTCTGAGATAGTAGGAGACCGCTCTGTCAGCAGAGGGGTTAAACTACTAGCCCCCAGCTCCTAAGGCAGTAAACAAAAATATGATCCTTAGTAGCAGCTATTGCAGTATGCACTACATTGCATAAAATCATCATACAGAATCACAAATATGAAATATACCGTGCATTTCTCAACAAGCCAGTCAGCTCGACCACCCTTCAAAGTACCTAAAATGTGAAATGGAGCAGCATTTTAATTATTGATGACATACCCCCTCAAGTCTTAAGTACTCTTTTACGAACTACTATGCTAGAATCAGAAAATGTGGAAAACTAACCAAAACCCGCAAACACATGCCACTGTGTGTTCTGTGGAAGAACTAACTTTGGATCTTCCAATGCCACAAAATCAAGCCCAGAGCGGTCGACGCTCTGTATTAACCCTTGTATCAAATTTCCTTTCCCATTGAAAAGCTCTACCCTTGCACGCATTATGTCAAAAATCAGGGAAACACTCAACTGAAGCGCAACAAATCCTAAATTCCTAACCAAAAATTGAACTTTCCTTGATGTTTCGATTTCACAACCATCAAAAATTGGTTCCAAATTCAACCAACCCAATTCGAATTCTTCCAGGTAACACGAAACCCAATTCAAATTTGATGAAGTTGGATTGGGATTTTAGGAGGTACCTATCATTGGCGCACAACCTCAAAACTTTAGTCATGTGCCAGAACTCGTCGCCTTGTACGCGGACTACGCCTCCCTGTAGCATCAAAACAACATACAATAAGCCTACATTTACTCTCTGTATGTTAGAGAGAGGGAGTTAGAGAGAGAGATTGCCTTGGAAGCAGGGATAAGCTCGGAGAAGAAGCGAGGGAGGCCGCCACGGGACTGGTTGGAGAAATCTGAAGAGGAAGAAGAAGAGGAGAATGCTCGAGCGGTCGAGGGTCTGAGAGAGAGCGACAACAGAGGATTGAGGCTCAAGGGCCTTGCAAAACGAGGTCGTATTGGGGTTAGGGTTTGCATTTCCCACCAATTTTCAGAGTATAAAAGGGCGATGGCCGAACGACAGCAACAATGCCCAGGCCAGGATCAGCGCTGCTCGACGGAGGGAAGGAAATTCGAGCGTGTTTTCTAAACCGGACTAAATTAGTAGGGTGTTAGAACTCAAAGCCCAAGGAAGAGCCAACCCAAAAGTCTAGCCTGATTGGTGTGACGACCCCAAGGACTTAAAAATCACTACACAATTGCTTATGTAGCCAATGTGGGATCGTAACATTGCCCACCCTTTCGGAAACTAACGTCCACGGCGGCCTTTACTCTGGTGGCTTTCACTCTTAATGCTGGCACCCTTTAGTTGTCCCGTTAAGGTAGCCCTTTCTGGGTCACCCCCTCTGTAGCGTCGGTTCATCTATCCCCTTCGGAAGCAAACACCCACGGTGGCCCTTACTTTGGTGGCTTTCACTCTTAACAGTGGCGCCCTCTGGTCATCCCGTTAAGGTAGCCCTTTCCAGGTCGTCCTCTCCGCAGCATCGGTTTGTCTGGCTTTGATACCAATGTTAGAACTCAAGCCCAACGGAAGAGCCCAACCAAAAGACTAGCTTGATAGGTGGGAGGACCCCAAGGACTTAAGAATCACTACACAATTGCTTGTGTAGCCAATGTGGGATCGTAACATAGGGTAAATTACATAAAATTACCTCAATTATTGGGTCAACCACAGTTTCATACCTCATCTTTAAAACATTTCAATGTCATACCTTATCTTACGAAATTGTTCAATGTCATACCTTCCGTCAATTTGTCTGTCAATTCCTCCATTAAATGCTGACGTGGCTTGAGGTGAGACCCACTATCTAATAAAAAAATTAATTAAATATTAAAAACTAAAAAATAAAATTTTTAATAATTTTTTAAATGGGGGACGATGGATTCCTCCTCATATCGTTCAACGATCTGAAACCATCGTCGTCCCAACTATCCTACCCCCCCCCCATTATTCCTAGAACCACATCCTCTACCGTTTCCACCATCGCCGCCGCCTTGGGCCAAAGGCAGCTTCTTTTTTCCTAAACTCTTGGGCCTCCTTCATGACGGGTAGGTTCCTTCAGGGCCGCCCCTCAACTAAGGCTTGAATCTGATCCCGATACACATTGGTTGCGTTGGTGTTGTACTTGGTGATGATATCCATCTTCTTAGGAACGCCGTAGCTGGCGAAGAAGGCGTTGAGCTGCTCATTATCGCCGACCTCCATCTTCTTGATCTAGATCTCGGACCACGAGTCCACGATCACGGATCGGACGAACGAGATGTGGACGTCGAGCCCATAGTGCTTGTCGAAGCACTCTAAGCATATGAAGACGCCGTACGAAAATGAAGCCCAATGCGGGTTCTTTTGGGAGCAGCCCACGCAGATCATGTTCCCTAGCTATGATTGCAGGTCCCTGATAGGAGCATATTTATACAACTTAGTTAGCTTATTTCTTGGCATTTACTTAGTTTAATTCTAGTTGTTTTAGTACTTTAAGCTATTTTCGTGTGTTTGCAGGTTCAAATAACAAAGTTGGCAAGAAAGTGCTATTTGGAGCATTTTGGAGCATTTTTGGGCCAAGATTGGATAGTGTAAGCATGGAGACCTGAGAATGAACGTTTTTGAAGATTAGAAGGCTGGAAATCAGCATGTGTGTGTGCAAGTGTGTTGACTTACAACTACAAACATCATAGCTGCCATGTGATGGCAGAAAATGTGTTGATTACTAGCTGAAATGATGAAGAGCATGTATGTGCAAGTGTAACAGCTGGTACATATGGTAATAAAGATAGAAAACAGCAAGGAACACACGACATGGGTAGCAGAAAATAAAGAATGAAGGCACATAAGCAGCAGGAAATCAGAAAATAAAGAATGAAGGAGTGGAAATGATGATTACATGGACAGCACACACACATGCAAAGAGGAGTTGGCACCATCATTCACACTTATGCAGCAACAACCCTTCATTATTACTTCAAATTCTACAATTTAAAAGGGAGATACAACATTCATACACGAACAGTTGGGGAGAGGACAGATTCTGCTACAAGGAGGGTCTTTTCTCCTTAACCATTCACCACCCTTTTCACCACCACATAAGCCTAAATTCAAAATATATACTTGGGCAGATTTTGATCCATCCTCCACCACCATATCAACACAATCCACCCATCCACCCTTCACCATAACTCACCTATATCCATCCACCACCATAATTTACCACTCATCCATCAAAACACACATTGTGCCGCAACAAAGAAAGGAAGGGAAGGAAAGTGATTGGACGTGCTTGCTGTCCAACGTGGATCGTTGGAGCGTTTAGGCGTTTTCTTTCTTTTCTTTCCAATGTTCAAATTCATTTTCTTTCGTTTTGTTATGAACATGAGTAGCTAAACCCCTCTTAGCTAGGGGTGATTTCAAAGCCATGATTATGTGTGCAATATGAGTTGATAAATTCCAGGTATGAGTTCTTGAATCATGAATGCAATAGGCTTAACTATTTGATTGATAACTTATTTGTATTTGTTGATTAAGGGTCGACACTTAATTGGCATGCATAAATCTGTTGCTAGAATATAAGAAAGTTTCACATAATCGTTACAAACTTATATTTACAAGTAGTGGAGGTCGCTTATAAACGATCGTGTTAAGTTTAATTCCTAGCATGAGTGACATGATGTCATAGTTGCAAGTGCTTTGTCAATGCTTATGATTTTCATTGAACGTAATGATCTTTGATTGTATCTTTATTATGATGTCATGTAGGGAACTTTTGAAGAATGCTTTGGGTTGTCGAATGATGTCATCCAATCCAATAAAACAAGGAAAATATGAGGGTTAACTAGTGATGTCGCGGTTAATTTGGGGCATTGTCATTTATAATTCGATGAAGGAGTAACTGGAAATTGATTCATTTGCATACATGTCATGTGTGGAGAAAGAGCCTCTAGCTAGCTTATCATCCATCTAATTCAACCAAATTCGTCCAAAATTTGTCTTAAGTTTTAGTTACTTGTTTTTATTTTAAATTTGTCCAAAACTCAATCCCCATTTACTTTAGTGTGTCTAATTAGTTAGAATCTGTTTTAGTTTGTGTTTTTAAGTGTTTTGATTCAAGTAAAAGTCAATTTTCGTCCAAAGTCATTTCTAGTGTCTAGTTTAAGTTTATTTGGTTGTTTTAAGCTGTTTTGAGTATTTTAAGTTTGCTATGAGTCTTGTGAGTCTTGTTAAGTGTTTTTAAGTTTAGTTTTATGTTTTTGAGTCCGTTTAGAGGTTATTAGCAAGCCCTCCTAATCTTCGGTCCAGAACGATCCCTACTTATACATATACTACAATTGTCAAAAGAGAGTTTAATTTGTGTGTTAAGTTAATTTTCGCATCAAATTTTGGCGCCGTTGCCGGGGATTAGCAACTTTGCTAATCCCTCATTATTTCTTTTTCGTGTCGTTTGTTTTAGTTACTGACTTTGTTTCTGTTTGTGTCTTTTATTTTTACTTTTGATATTTGATTTAGTTTTGTTGATTTCAGGTACTAGAGAAGTAAGACATGAATTTGCTACCATTCAAGCTCAATTGGCGAAACTTACTTCTCAATTGTCACAATATGCCGAAAGGACCACAATGCAAAGTGTCCCTACATGTGGTGTGTCCTTTGGGCAAGGATATCCAACTCATCAATGTTCTCAACTTGCTGCAAATGAGCTTGGGGTTATCAAGGCCATAGCCAATCATGGGACAACATGTTTTCCAACACTTACAATTCGGATTGGAAAGATTATTCAGATTACATAGAACTTCAACAATTCCAACAACATGGATATTGGGAGCAAGAATAGGAGTTCTATTCAAGACCTATGCAGCCATCACAACCTCATATACAATATGCTCAATCAAACTCAGGTTCGTCAATAGATTATGATCGAATTTTTGATGAAATAAATTCTTTGGTGCAGGGCTCACAAAATCAAGCCAAGGAGGCTCAACAAAATGGATATTGGCAGCAATCTGAGGAGTTTTATTTAACACCTATGCAGCCACCACAACTTCCCCCACAACAATTCCAATCAAATTCAAGTAAGTCCATATATAGTGATCAAATTCTTCAATTACTAACCTCTTTGGTGAAGGGGCAGCAAAATCAGAATGCAATAATGCTTAATCAAGCTAAGGAGATGAGCGAATTGAAAAATCAACTTGGAGAGATTATGGAGTTCACGGCATAAATTCAAGAGAAAATGAACTCTTCAACTTAACTATTGAAAATTTGAAGGAAGATTTTGAAATCTATGATGCTATCACTTTGGGAAGTGCTATGGAGGTTGGAGGTGAACCTAAGACGTCCAAACCAAGCCAAAACATGGAGGAACAGCTGCTGCTCGAAGAAGGGGAGAATAACAAGGCCATGGCAAAGGAAGAACCACCCATGCCGTAGCCCCATATGCCCTCTATACCGTCCACTACAACCAAGGTAAGCCTAAATTCAATTCGTCCTGACCCTGTTTCACTAAATGTCCTTATTCCTTGCAAGATCATGCAATCCAAGGAAGAAGAGGGTGAGAAAGGCATCTTCGAAACCTTTCCAAAGAATCAAGAGCAAGAAGTGGATGGGGAATGTCTAGAATTCATCAAAGAAGATACACTTGAGATGAAAAATCCCAAAGAAGTTGGATTTTATGACACGGGACAAGTCATAACTCTCAAAACACCAAATCTGGCCAAGTCCCATATCCCTGCAACCGTCAAAGATGAGGTGTTCGTAATTGAGTTTGTGTCGGAGCAAACAAGTAAGCCATCTTCTTCAACTTCGATTTTATTTTATACTAACTTGTTGATTTTGATGATTCAGGCACCTACACTAGAATTTAAACCATTGCGGGATCACGTCAAGTATCACCTTCCATTCAAGGATCAATTCCATGCTATGGGCCCTATCCAAGCTTAGAAGGAAGTTTCGTCCGGCTGCAAGACGTTAAAGCAAGCGCTTATTGGGAGGCAACCCATGTATTCAAATAAGGAAGATCTTTGAATTGCTCCACGATTAGTTTTGCGTTCCTAAAAACCTTCCCTTTTCTGCAATTTTATTTTGCCATGATTGTCATTTTTTATTTGTTGCTTGTTTAATTGTTTTTGGTGTGGGTTT